CTCAAAAAAAAGAGATTCTTTTAATCTGATTTCAATCACTGATTTACTTTTACTCACTGAGAGTGAGGCTGAGATCAAGGTAGGTACTCGAATCTAAAAAATCAGAACATTTAAAAAGAATCCCTTGAAAGCTGGCAAAAATGGTAAGTTGTCTCTGCACCCAATAGTCCACTGGAAAAATGTCTATTCGCTGCCCAACGTTGAGCTGAGTAGGTCCTGTCACGTTGTATCGCATTCTCATTTCCGACTGAAGGCAGGCTACCTCGCTCGCTCCCTGAGTCCTGTTCTCTTCTTTTTTCTTTTTCTTACCCATGTAGCAGTTTTCAAAAAAAGGAATTCGATGGTGATAAATGACGATTAAGTAGATATTAGCTATTAAAATTTCAAAAATTGGGTGATAAAAATAGTCAAAAATAGTTGTCAAAAATAACAATAAATTGCAATCAAACAGCTATTCCGTGTTTCAAAATCGAACATGACTTTTAAAAACAATAAGTTTGCATTTCACGTGTAGATTAAAATTTCTATTTAGTAAAAGTCGCGTAGCAATAATGTGCTTGTTCAGTAATTTGTAATTCTTGCATTTTTGAAAACTAGAAATTCACATAGTTCACATGAATTTCCCCCGATTTTTTTGAGCAATATTAACCCACGAATTACGAGTTCAAAGTTCCGTATTTTGAGCTCCCATGTAAACGCGCATTGCTTGGGTTATCTAAGATGGCATCCATTCTATCCGTCCGGCGATGGCCATGCACTTTTGACCTCGCGTGCCGGCGAGGTTCCTCTGCCGAGTGTGGCAGTCCAGTCCGTGAAGTAAACAAACAAACACTGGGCTGAATCTATCCGACTCCTAGCCGATTACCCCGCGCCCTCGGAGAAAATAAGAGCCCGCGTTGGCTGAAAAGCAAGCGCGGGAAGCTCAGTCCAGTAGCAGACAACCACGCTTTCTTCCTATTCAATGCGGGCTCTTATTTTCTTTTTGGGGTAGGTAATCGCATGAAAGTCGGATGGTTTCAGCTCAGTGTTTGTTTGTTTACTTCCTGGGCTACCACACTCGGCAGAGGAACCTCGCCGGCACGCGAGGTCAAAAGTGCATGGCCATCGCCGGACGGATAGAATGGATGCCATCTTAGATAAACCGAGCGAAGCGCGTTTACATGGGAGCTCAAAATACGGAACTTCGAACTCGTATTTCGTGGGTTAATATTGCTCAAAGAAATCAAGGGAAATTCATGTGATCTATGTGCACTCTCTAGTTTTCAAAAATGCAAGAATTGCAAATTAATAAACAAGCTCATTGAAAATAAATAGCTTAATTATTAATCACTATCAGTCTTGAAATTCTGCTGCATTGGGTCCTCAGACTGCCTGTTTTACGTTCTTGCTACAAATTGAGCAGCGTTTTCAACTCCCTCCGTGGGTCTCCCATTTCTACAAAATTATCATTTTTCCTTTATTTGTTATTATTTAACTTCTATCATATTTCTTCTTTCTTCACACACAGGCTCAGTGACTTTTCCCGTGTATACTTTTAATACGGAAGGAAACAAATCATAAGACTGGCACAGTGCAACCAAATACAATGACAAAAGTTTGCTCGGGAGGAAATAAGGTGATCCTTATGTGTTTAAGGGTGCTGAATCGTAAAATGACCTCGATTTTTTCCTTCACCCTCCAATTTTCCGAAAAATCCAATTTCTCCCGGAAAAATGGGCGTTTTGAAGGGTTTTTGTGACTATAACCCCTCGCAAAATGTTGGTAAAATTTTTCTCAAATACAAGATAGGTAACCATTTTCCAATGTAATTTGAGCCGCTGTGTTCAAAAATGCCTCCATTTTTTCTTATCACCTCTCTGTTTTCCGAAAAAGTCACTTTCCCCCAAGAAAATGAGCAAATTTGACTGTTTTTTTATAATGCATGCAATTTATTCAATTTCCTCTTAACCCTTGGTATGGTGGTGCCTATGTATTTTGAGCAGCTAAATCCAAATATGACCTCCGATTTTTTCATCCCCCCCCCCCCCCGGTTTTCCGGTAAAGCCGATTTTTCCGAGCCTTATTAGTTTATGTAAAACTGGAGATACTCAATGAATTTCTGAGGGCTTATTTGGATTCATCAGCTGAAATTACACGAGAATCGCTATAACACATGTGGAATTTTTTTTAAAATTCCCATGGAACAGTCTTGAAAAGCTTGCACACCCCTACTAGCCTGGTAAAATTGAACCTTCTACAAAACGGGAGGGTTTTCTGAAACACGTGGAGGTTAAAATCGGGTTCAGAGACTCCTTAATACATCAGGACACACCTAAGGAGGATCTCGAAAAATTTCTGAAAATCTTTAGAACAAAAATACG